GACATGACATGAGTCATTAAAATAATATGCGATAATAATTGTGGGGGTTTTGCTCCGCTTTACTCTTTATTTACAGGTCTTTACATATTTTTTAATATCGCAAATGGAGTAAACAATGTAGTATGTCCATGTGTTTGCGTAAGAAGGAATCGCTTAGAATATTATTTAACCAGTAGGGAAAGGTCAAAAGTCGGGCGAGGTCGACTATATGATACCCAACACCACTATGCGTATGTAGTAGAGCTTCCGTAACCAAACAATTTATATTGGTAATTTATGTGAAGTATATCATAATATGCACCAAATACAGTGCACGTTATGACTTCGATAAGGATTATATTCAAAACCACTAAGGAAAAGTCAAAAGTCGGGCGGGGCCGGCTATATGATACCCTACACCAATATACGTGTTTAGTAGAGCTCCCGTAACAAAGTAATTTTTTTTGAAGTAGATCATACCACCTATCAACATTTGGGCTTAGAGCAGTTATAGTTTGGTTTTAGAGAGTACTAATATACGGGAGGCATATCCATTGGGAGGCATTGGCCATTTTGGATACGTAGGAACTATATCCAATTCTTAGTCGAACTCGATAATATTTGACGAAGGTATTTCCGATATATCAATGAATATTACGAATTTGGGGAACTTAAACACCAAATCGGATGAAACATATATATATAGCTATATCTGAACCGATTTTCAATTTTTTGATGTACCCGTTTCTAGAATGAATTCGGTCGGATGTACCAACATTCAGGACTTTTGGTCAGATATTGGCCATTTGGTGCACAATTAACTCGAAAACCTGGCGTGAATGAGTATGGACTGAATATGAAGGAATGTATGGGGCCACTCCTTCTGGTACTTCCCTCATAAGAGTTCAAACTTTTGAATAAGAAAACGCTTATAAATGCGTAGTAGGCATCTAATACTCTTCAAATCACAATATGTTCGTTAACAAGAGATCTCCTGTGAAGATGGGTTATATCGGTCCACTTCATTAAGTAGCACAATTCTGAATATCAATGTAGCTCATAAAACGAAAAATTATCATCCAATTCCATTCAGACTTGGCACATCTCAATACTTGCATTAACAAAAGATCTGTGGTAGAGGTCTGACTACTCCTTCCGGTACCTCCCACATAGAGGTTCAAGATCTTGAAAAACAAAACAAAAAAAAAAAAAAACCCTCAAAGAAAGCGAAATAAGCATCCAGCTCTCTTCAAATTTCTCACACACAAACATTTTTGCTAACAAATGATCTGTTGTGGAGATGATATACAGGATGAGATAAAAACAAGTAAGCAAAGGCTACAGTCAAGCGGGGCCGATCGTTGAATACCCTACAACACTATAATAAACGATACTGTGTATATAGGCGAGATACTCGAAAGAATTCCACAAGACAAATTATAAAAGAAAACCATCAGGTTTCGTTCTCTCTAATTTTCGAATAATAGCAACTTAAGCTAATTTGCTCATTTCCATTTTATTGGTAGATGTTGCACGTAAATGGTCTTCCTAGATCTGGAACCAATATTTCCCAAAGACCTATAATCTCTCAGAAGTGGCAAAAGATTAACATTTATTATTATTTTTTGACTGAAACGCATCTATATGAGATACAGACATTTGACTATATTCCTTCACGAAATCAGCGTTAACGAAATAGTCAGAAGAGCGTCTTTCCTGTATTTGTGAATTCTCCAAAGAGTCACTGGAATGGACATTTTCGTATTTTGTCTACAAAAGTTGGCAAACTATTTCGCACATTGAATATTTTTGGATGGCCATCCAAAACTGCTTGGCTTTTACAATGTCCGGTAACCCCAATTCGAATGTGCGTGAGGATCGGGCCTGCTGACAATTTTGCAGTTTTTTGGTCCATTTCAACCCCTAGATATATTGCGATCATCTCCAAAAAGAATAGGCTTCTATTCTGACCCTCATCTTATACCCATGCACCATTTCGTAAGGATCGGGCCATAAATGCGATCTGTATATGATATCCTGATATCCTAACTACTTAGTTTTGTTAGCTGTAGAAATATTACCAAATGTTTAATTCAAAATGAAAATATGACAACATTGAAAAAATATGAGAAAATTTTACAAAATCAATATTTTCATCTCTAGAGAGATATTTTTATGCGATTTTTTCAGACGTTTTATGTTTCCTGCCAAGAGGCCATTCTGAATTAATGAGAACTGTCGAAATCAGTTCAGCCGTTCTCGTCATATAAGAGATCCTTCAAGCATATCTTCTTTGATAGACATATATATCGCACATATTTTGCTATATATCCGATTCGTTGGATGTTAACATCAATGTAAAGCTCAGAAGTAACCTTGTCATGGCTTCGTGATTTCGTCGGGATTTAAAAAATTCGCGGTTTAATGAAAAATATTGAATTTTTTCAACACAAAAGATATGGTCTATTTTACCCGCTAAATATTATCCGATGACCACCCTAATTGGTAGGCTTCTTCCCCGCCCTAAACTCTAGCTACTGCATAATCCGATATTTTTTCAGTATTTGGTCCATTTCAACCCCTAAACATTTGGCGATCATCTCCAAAAGAAATAGGCTTCTATTCCTTCTATCCCTAACCCCACCTCCCTTTTAAATTTCGTGAAGATCGGACCATAATTGCGACCTGTAGAGTGATTACAAATTAACATGGACAGACGGACATACATAGCTAGATCGACTCAGCTCGGCGAGCTAGGAAGATCTATACATACTTTCCTATATGGGAAACCAATATTTCGAGGTGTTACATAAATTCTGGCCCAATCAAACTTATAATACCCCCAACACATAGGGTATAAACAGCAACCAACTTCAGACTGCTGTCATTTCTAAGCCACTCGTCCAACAGCTGTTACAGTTATTCCAGTGACAGCTCATTATATTGTTTACAAGCGCACAAAAGCATTTTGGTGAGAATTTTCCAGAAAAAAAGTTATTCGTGATGGAATTCAAGCGTGATAGTGTGATTTCTTTTTATTTGGCTGGAAACCACAAGCGGCTATCGCTAGAGCACTCCAGCATTTAAATGTGAATAAATCTTTTGTATCTCGTACCATCGCTCTTTACCGTGATGCTTGTAGCGTAGCCCGACGTCGAGGAAGTGGAAACAGCAACATTAGCAGACATGTTTCGAAAAGTAAAAAAGCGATTTGACCGAAACCCGCGTCGCCGTCCAAAAATGGCTCGTGAGCTGAACATATCGCAATATTCCTTTCGTCAAATATTGAAAAATGAGCTCGGGGTAAAGCCATTGAAATTCCAAAAAGTGCAAGAACTTACACCGCAACGGAAAGAAAATAGAGCTAAAAAGTTGCTTGGCCGAAAGTAGTGAACTGCCGAATGTGGTTTTCTCCGATGAGAAAACATTCGTTTTCCAGCAGTTTGAAAACAAACAAAATGATCGTGTTTAATTGCCAAAGAGGTCAGCTAAAAATGTGCACCTTCGGTTGGCCACTAAACTCAAGCGCCGGTCATGGCATAGACAAATGAAAATATAGACAACGAAATGCTCTCACCGCTTATCTTCGAAAAAAATCGAATCAGCAGATGTCGTCTATATCGTTTCAGGGGTTTGAGTGGGAATATTGAAGTCACTCAATTCTTAAACGTTAAAAATAACAAAAACTGTAGGATGTTTGTCAGTTGGAAATTGTTCCATAATAAAAGAAATGTGAAAATTACGTGATGACATCAAAAAATTCCGGAATAATCAAGTGAAATTCTTGAAAAACGATAAAACGAAGCATGTATACTATGCAAAACATGAAGAGAGCCACCCGGATAAAAAGACAAAACTAACTTTTCGTTGTCTATATCTTCATTTGTCTATGGTCATGGTGATGATGTGGGCCGCCATAAGAGTCGATGGTCGCTCTCTGCTCGTATTAATCGACCGTGGTGTCAGAATAAATGCCGAATATTATATTGAAATTATTCTGGAGGGTGTTTTAAAGCCTTGGGCACGCAAACATTTTGGCCACAGACCTTGGACATTCCAACAGAACTCAGCACCATCGCACTCAGCACGCGCCACCCAAGAATGGTTACAAAATGAGGTTGCTCGCTTCATTTGGCCACCAAAATCTCCGGATACCAATCCGTTGGACTGTATTCGGGCAGCGTGTGACGTTTTCATTGGCCGTTTGAAGGCCATAATTCGTGCCAAAGGTGACCAATTCGAACAAATCTAAACTTATTGTAAAATTTAATGGTATTTTCGAAATTCAATAAAATTTAAAAAACAAAAAAAAAAAAAAAAAATGTAAAAATTATGGCCTTTGACTTTGTTGCAGTTTTTTATCCCACCCTATATATCTGCCAACCCCCTCTGGTACCACACCCACAAAGTGCCACAATTGTCTGCGATTCTTTACAACATGCTATATCTAAAAATATTTCTCTCAACCAGAAACCTGAGATGAATATGGAATAAAATTGGATATAAATGTTCGATTTTCTTGTAATTTTGCCCATACCAATAATTTTCTCTGTATTAGATGAAGTGTGAGAATAGAATACTTCGGTCGACTATGTTTGCTACATCATGCACATTTTAAAATTTTCTCCTATAAAGCGAAGGAATTAACCAACATAGTCCAAACCTGGAACGTCGCAATATGTATATCATATTTATTTAGGTCCGTTACGAAATGGACATTATTGGTCCATTTCCCCAGAATCTACTCCATAGAGGGTCAACAGTTTGAATGATTATAACTGAAGTCAAAATATTTTTTTGTAATAGAACGTTGGCTAAGGGAATTCATATGTCGGCAAAACCGACTGATACTTTATAACTTATTTTACTATAATATTTTCTTGCGTAGGTAATTCAGCTAACAAATTAATGATGTCATTAATACTTTTATCCGTAGGGTAATATCTTATAAATATGTGTAAGTTGAATGAACTTGTTGTCCATGATAATGGAATTACCATTGTAATGGAATATTTACATACCTGCAAGTGAAACCTTCCGTGAGAGCAATGTAATCTTTTCGTCTCTCTTTCTTCGTGGACTTATGAAACGGGAAAAAATCTGAAAGTAAATTAAATTAAATGTTTGTATTAATTTAAAATGAATATTTGTGGAAAAATAATGTATGGATTTATGAATGTAGAAAACTACGCAAAAGAATCTTCCAGTACAGAAATGCAAAAAAAAAAAATAAATAAATAAACAACACACACACAAATCGAGAAACATGCATTTTGTGTTAGCCGCTTGACAGTTGTGAGAACGTGTCCAGCAATTATAATTGACATTAGTTTTGTTCCCTTACTTTCTTGTTTAACATAAAATTAGTAACAGAGTGAAATGAAATAAAAATCACTGCTGAGAAATGAAGGCAACGTTAAAAAACCGTTAAAAATTTTCCATGGATTCTTTAAAAAATCCACGTTTATAATTTCGAAGTTCCTTGGAAAATATTCTTTAAAAAATCCACGTTTATAATTTCGAAGTTCCTTGGAAAATATTCTTTAAAAAATCCACGTTTATAATTTCGAAGTTCCTTGGAAAATATTCTTTAAAAAATCCACGTTTATAATTTCGAAGTTCCTTGGAAAATATTCTTTAAAAAATCCACGTTTATAATTTCGAAGTTCCTTGGAAAATATTCTTTAAAAAATCCACGTTTATAATTTCGAAGTTCCTTGGAAAATATTCTTTAAAAAATCCACGTTTATAATTTCGAAGTTCCTTGGAAAATATTCTTTAAAAAATCCACGTTTATAATTTCGAAGTTCCTTGGAAAATATTCTTTAAAAAATCCACGTTTATAATTTCGAAGTTCCTTGGAAAATATTCTTTAAAAAATCCACGTTTATAATTTCGAAGTTCCTTGGAAAATATTCTTTAAAAAATCCACGTTTATAATTTCGAAGTTCCTTGGAAAATATTCTTTAAAAAATCCACGTTTATAATTTCGAAGTTCCTTGGAAAATATTCTTTAAAAAATCCACGTTTATAATTTCGAAGTTCCTTGGAAAATATTCTTTAAAAAATCCACGTTTATAATTTCGAAGTTCCTTGGAAAATATTCTTTAAAAAATCCACGTTTATAATTTCGAAGTTCCTTGGAAAATATTCTTTAAAAAATCCACGTTTATAATTTCGAAGTTCCTTGGAAAATATTCTTTAAAAAATCCACGTTTATAATTTCGAAGTTCCTTGGAAAATATTCTTTAAAAAATCCACGTTTATAATTTCGAAGTTCCTTGGAAAATATTCTTTAAAAAATCCACGTTTATAATTTCGAAGTTCCTTGGAAAATATTCTTTAAAAAAATTTGATGAGAAACCATCAAATTATCTAACAATCAATAGGTGGCAACCACGCTTTTTTTGTTTATCAAATAAAAATGCCGGCAATTTAAAATACACAAATTTTATGTGAAGGAACAAAGCTAAGGTCATTAATATTTATTAATTTCTCTGACTTCTCAACAATAACAAAAATAAATTGTACTGTTTTTTTTTTTTTTTAGTTTTGAGAGCATTCAAACTATGCCACCAATTTTAATTAAAAAAATTTAATAAACCTTAAAAATTTATGAAAAAAATGTACGTTGTTAAATTTTTATGCGGCTTTTGCTATATGTATACATGTATGTATCAGGGACCTACGGGGGGTTGGGGCCCGTGATTTCTACGAAATGATTTTTTTTGCCACCTTAAGTGGAAAAGTTAACTTGTTTTTATTTAAACATTTCTCCACCCCACCACCAAAACGACACACTTACTTTCACGTCTCTAGTATTTATGTATGCATGTACAGTGAGCGTCAAAAGAAAGTTTACACCAACATGCACGTTATTATTAACGTTTTATTTATGCTTCTGTGACATTATGTGGTCATCACATATTTCTGCAATGACAGCTCTATTACTCTGATCCTAGCTCAAAAATTCACGCAGCAACAACAAGTGTTATTAAAAACAAGTAAAACATGAAGTTCGGCCGGTCCGATCATTTTGTATGGAAAACATTTTTATATAATATTATCTAAATTCAAGCGTGTTCCGCTTTAAACTACAAATACCAGTAAGACTATTTGGATAATGCAATATAACGTTTCAAAACCAGTAAATAAAGTCTTAAAGTCGGGCGGGGCCGACTTTGTGATACCCTACACCACTTTGCTAATTTAGTAGAGCTCCATATAACAAATAAAAGTTTTTATGGGAGAATTCAATCATACAAGCTATGATTATAATTATAATTTACAGATCAAAGGACTAAATATGCCGAAGCATTTGTGTCTTTTAAATTCGGACATGTGTTGCCCATTTGGTGCAATAATAATTAAAAATCGGATAAAAATATATATGGGAGCTATATCCAAACCTGAACCGATCTCGATATAATTTGGCAAAGATATTTCTGAGCTGTATTTGATATATTTCCCCGAATATCGTTGTTACGGAGTGCATATTACGGCTGCGGAGGACAAAAATAACAAATCGGATGAACAATATATATGGAAGCTATAGCTATATCTGAACCGATCTTCAGCAAACTTGATATGCTAGCTTCTAAACTTAATTCCATCCCATTTAGACAAATATTAGACGTTTGGTGCACAATAAAAGGTAAATCGGACAAAAATATATATGGGAGCTATATCCAAATCTGAACCGATCTCGATAAAATTTGGAAAGGACATTTCTGAGCTGTATTTGATATATTTCCCGAAATATTTTTGTTGCAGAGTGCATATTACGGCTGCGGAGGACAAAAATAACAAATCGGATGAACAATATATATGAGAGCTGTAGCTATATCTGAACTTTGAAATTTGGCATACTTATTTTCAAGTCCAATCTGATCGTACGTGCAAAATTCCATACTATTCGGACTGATATTATACGTTTGGTGCACAATTTCAATAGGGTTCGTCCTTGGGCCAAACAAATGATCTGTGCAAAATTTCATCTGGATCGGGCAATAAATGCGACCTGTACTTTGTTTACAAAAATACATGGACAGACGGACGGACGGACATGCATAAATCGACTCAGAATGTGATTCTATGCAGATCATCAAAAATAACTACGGGTCTATCTCGTTTCCTTTTGCCTGTTACAAACAAATGCACAAAGACATAATACCCTGACCACCTTGTGGTGTAGGGTATAAAAACCATAAAGTGAGTGAATCCGTTATATGGGGGACCATACTAGAAAAGGGTACCTATACAGACAACTTTATACTACAAGTTTCATGCTTTTTTTTTTTTGAGCTTCATGGGTATTCAAAATTGTAAACCTTTGTGGGGGAGGTACCAAAAGGAATGGTTCGATCTCTTCCATCTTTATAACTGATCTTGAGCTGATAGAAAAAATTGAGATGTACATAGTCTGAATGGAATTGGATGTTAATTTCGCGTTTTGTGAGCTTCATGGATATTGAAAATGTTAACCCTTTTGTTGGGGAGGTACCAGAAGGAGTGGACCGGTATAATCCATCTTCACACCAGACCTTGGGGTGGGTAATACAATCGGTTCATTCATTCCCTCTCTCTTTCTTTGCAGTAAAATATTGTTTTTGAAAAAAAAATAAATAAATAAAAAAAAAATACTTACAATTTGTTTATTTATTTAAAGTTGTGTTTGTCGCTGAAGGTATGTCTGGCCACTACAATGGTTTTATAAAAACTGAAGCGTTGATCATATTGAGATGATAAACAAATAAGAATATAACAAATGTCTTGTGTCGTCAAATGATATCATTATTAAATCCTATTGGTTGAAAATCAGGTGATATGATTTTAATATTACAAAATATATGTATGTATTTAAATATGTGTGTATGGTCAATGTGGAGAGTTTTTGAAGCGCATTCAAATTGAAATAAATTCAAACACGACAGATGAGTTGGAGTCTTCGCTGGACTTTTGAAATGTCTCTTAGGGATAGAGAACGCCTAGACTTAGGGTCGTGTATATGTCTTCTACAAACTGAAGGCTCTTAAAAAGTCATCCATATATACACTGGTGGCCAAAACTAAAGCAACTGAAATTACAAGGAGAATGAGAACCCTGTAACTTTTTCAAAAATTAAGAAAATGAGAAAGTTTTTCTTGTTTTAAATTAGGTACTTTATTCACTTTTTAAAAACCTAAAACATAAAACCAAAATTAATTTTTATATAAAAAATAATGGTTGGTAAAGTCAATTAACCCGATTTTGGCTTGGACAAAACAAAAGCAAGTCTTTTGTACATTCATATAACCGCTGCAATTTCAGTTGTTTTTACTGTGATATTTATCGCTTTTTGCTTCCTTCGATAATTTCGCTTGTCATAAATCCTTTTTGAGAAGTTTTTTACAACATTATGTGTTTTTCTTTTCGTTTTTTAAGTACTGCCTAAAAAATTTTAAAAATGGCTAAAAGCAAATACAGTACCTGAATAAAACAGCAAATTATCAGTGACTATCAAAACAACATATCACAGAAAATGATTTCCGAGAAATATTTCATAAATATTTATGTGATTTCATAATTATTTCTGTATACTAAATCGGTTTTTTGAACCCGGATCAGTAGTAACAGTCTATAACGGATGAAGGCCGTGAAAAACTTCAGCCCGTACTGATCCACAAATTGTGAGAGAAATAAAAAACAACTATTTAAGAGTTCAACTGGATTGGTGAGAGAGAAATCAATGGATATAAGCTCGAGATCAGTGCGTAGACGAGTAGTGGCAGCTGGTCTGCATGCCCGTAAGACATCAAAAAACCATTTATATCTGAAAAAATCAAAAAGGCTTTCGGAAACGATAATATTAAGTGTAATCAAGCTCAATGGAAAAAACATTATTTCTGGGATGAGTCTACGTTTAATATTAAAGGCTCCGACGTGAAAAATTTTACGGTGAGAAGACCAAAAAATGAAGGACTCAAGCCGCAGTGTTGCAAAGGTACAGTGAAGCATGAGGGAGGGTCAAAAATGGCGTGGCACTGTTTTTCTTTCTATGGACTTGGGCCTATCCATAAAATAAAGGAAGTTGTGGATCGGTTTGTTTACAAAGATGTGTTGGACATCACGTTGTTCCCTTACGCTGAGTAAAATATTCGGCTGATTTGGGTGTTTCAGCATGACAATGATCCCAAACTTGTATTAAAACTTGTCAAATATTAGTTGCTGGAGTCAAAAATTCATGTTTTGTTATGGCCGGCACAATCACCTGACCTAAACTCCTTAGAACACCTTTGGAGTATCGTAGATAGGAAGATCAAGAGAGATTCGGAAATAAATAAGCACAACATTTTCTAAAGAATTCGGGGTGCCTGGGAAAGCACACCCAAGGATCAAATTGAGCGTGTTATAGATTCAATGCCTCGTAGGTGTGCAGCTGCTATCAAAAATAATGGCTATGCTATCGACTACTAGCCAACATTTAATTATTTTAAAATAAAAAATCAAAAGTTGCTTTAGTTTTGACCAAGCAAAAATTGGGTCATTTTAGTTTTGCACATATTATTTTTCGTTCAAAATTATTTGTGTATTTTTATTTTTAGTTTCTTAAAAGTGAATTGAACCCCTCATTCAAAACTGGAAAAATAATTACGATTTATTTATTTTTGTAAAAGTTACAGGACATTTATTGTCTTTGCGATTTAAGTTGCTTTAGTTTTGGCCACCAGTGTAGCTAACCCTTAAAAGGTGCTCTGTAGACAAAAGGTACGTGAAGGAATAGGACGATAAATTCCATATTTACATCTCTGGTTGAGAGAAATACTAATATAAACCAAGTTTGAATAGAATCGCTAACTTGATTCGCAGATTATGAGAGATATATGCCATTTAAAATTGTAAGCCTTTGTGGGAGAGGTGCCAGAAGGGGTAGGCCGATATATATTATTTTCACATCAGATTTTGTGTTAGTATATATATTGGGATGTGCCGAGTTTGAAAAGAATCGATTGCTTATTTCGCGTTTTATGAGCTTTAGGATCATTCAAAATTGTAACCCTTTGTGGGGGAGGCACCAGAAGGTGTGGTCCGAAAAAAAAACCCATCTTCACATCAGGTCTTGTGTTAATAAAATTTGAAGAAAATCGAATTTTTTTTTTCGTATTTTATGAGTTTCATGGTTATTCAAAATGTTGACCATTTGTGGGGAAGGTGCCAGAAGGTTGGGTCCAATATATTCCATTTTCAGATCTTGTTTTGATAGATATTTCGCATTTTATAGGAGTTATCATTTTCACATCTTTCCTAGCTCTCATAAAAATATTAGGATTAGCAAAGTTTGCATAAAATTGTATGATATTTCATTGTTTAATAAAGTAAATTATTTTTTTTGTTAAAAATGTTTGTGAGGCAGGCATCAAATGGTTGATAATAATATTAAAATGTACCAAGTTTGGATCAAATCGTATGCTTCCTTTGAGGGTTTTCGTGCACACCAGCCGACCGGCAAGACAGACGGATGGACACCCCTAGATGGACTCCAATTATCCTGAAATGGGTTTGGTCCAAAGACACCTAGGGTCTAAAACCGTTATTTCGATTTGCTCGTTTCGTTTTGGTCGTATCAAACTATATATACCCTCTCTAATCATTTGGCTGAGGGTATAAACAAGTATTCTGAATGAGTCTTCAACTTTTCCACTCGAGCCAATTGCGAATGAAAAGATTTAATAGTCTTTAATAGTGCTAAAAAATACGAAACGTACTAATAGGTACAATTTTTTTTTTACGTGGGAAAGCTATAGTGGTGGAGATCTAAGATTTGGTTTTATGCTCACGTTGTTATACATCTGGTACTGGTCGATACCGCTATATTGAGCTCACGTCAAAATAGCTCAATCGTTTGACGGCCGTTATGTTTGAACTACCCTTAATCATGAGGTTGACAAAACTACAGGGTGAGATAAAAAACTGCACCCAACTTCAGACTGCTGTCATTTCTAAGTTACTCGCCCGACAGTTGTTGCAGTTATTCCAGTGACAGCTCATTAAACAAATCAAAACTTATACTAAAATTTGATGCTATTTCCGACATTTTTTGCTTTCATACAATAAAATTTAAAAAATGTACAAATTATGGCGTTTGAATTTGTTGCAGTTTTTTATCTAACTCTGTAAATACTCTGTTGCGCAAGTTATAACAGATAAAAGTATTGAAAATGTGCGTGAGGTACCGGAAGGGGTTAGAAGATATATATCATATATTAGCTAAAATGTTTGTATCTGTGAAATTTGAAGAGAGTTGGATGTTGTTTTCTCTTTCTTTGAGCTTTTGTTTTTCAAAATTGTGATCCTTTGTGGAGGAGGTACCAGTAAGAATGGACCGATTTCTACCATCTTCATAACAGATCTTGTGTTGATGGAAATATTTAGCCTGAATCGAATCGGATGTTAATTTCACGTTTTATGAACTTCGTGGATATTCAAAAATTTGAACATTGGTGGGGGAGTTACTAGTGGGGGTGGGCCGATGTTAACCATCTTAACACCAGACCTTGGGTTAATAAAAATATTGTGCTGTGTGCAATTTGAAGACAATCGGACCCTTACATCTCATTTCATGCGAGTTATAATTATTCAACATTTTGACCCTTTGTGGTGGAGGTACTTGATGGAGTTGACCGATATTGTCCATTTTTGCTCCTGACCAAGAACTGGCGCAAATAACAGGATTTGAAAAGATGGAGAAAAATCACTATATTTTTTCTTTCTGTATAGCAAACTAATTTTTAATTCATTGGCCGTTTAAAGGCCATAATTCGCGCTAAAGGTGACCAATTCGAACAAATCTAAACTTATTGTAAAATTGTCTTGTTAATCTCACCCTGTATACCTTCTCTAGCCATATGGCTGAGGACATAAAAAGCCCTAGATCATAGATCTTTTAAAGGTCTTCTGGCCATGGTAGATCTTTGAAATATCTTTTAAATGCCTTCTGCGCACAGATTTCCTTTCAATGGTATTTTGTTAGTGGAAGGGGACACTTAACTCGGACTTTTAAAGAGTTTTCTGCAGAACTTCAAAAAAATACACACATATATATATATATATAAAAGTTTCTTCTTCCGTATTTTTCAATAATACATTCGTTACCAGTTCACTTTGATATTTTTTCTCCAAAAGAGAACATGACTCTTTGAAGAGATCGCATGAATTGGCAATTCTCACCACCACTTGGCTGTTTAAATGAATGGCCCAAGAGCTCTCTCGATCGTATCAATTTAGTTTCTGTTCGACCGCCTAACAGTATGGGTGCCACACAAAAATGTGATCACGCAAAGTAAACGGACGCGTTATGAGACATGTAAGGAAGGGCTAACGTTTCTGCCGGCATAAAAACACGTGAAATATGCAACGCCCGCAAGAGGCGCGTGAACTTGAATGTGATATTAGATGCCTCATGCATGAAGTCACTTAGGAAAAATGCAAAAGTGAATTAAAAAACTCAAATAAATACAGGCAAAGGAATAATCAATAATTTCGGAATTTGTATGTTACTCGTATTACTCATACAAAATAATTAACAATAAGTATTTGAAAAGGTGTTAAGTTATTCCGTGTAATTAAACGGTATATATGTAGGTATGTGTTGCGGGGTTTTCGTTTTGTTTCCCGTTTTGTTAAAATGTATAATAATTAATGTCGAAGTAATATTTAATTCTACCAAATATGTGCAATAAATTATAAAAGTATTTACAAAATAAAAGTATTGCAAGGAAAGTGTCGTTTAACTGAAATTATTCTCAAAAAAAAAAAAAAACAAATGCAATCAAGAAAAAAAGTAAACATGTTATGAATTTTCAATTCAAATGGTGTTCCCAAAGTATTAAAAAAAACGTAATAAAAATATGATTCAAGCGATTTTTTCTATTGCCACTCTATCTTAAAAATTGATAAGAGCGCCAGGTGATAAGGCCCGTTCAAACGCCTAATAATTTAGCAATAATTCCTTCTGTGCTTTCTATTTAAAAAAAAAAAAAAAAAAAATATATATATATATATATATATATATATATATATATATATATATATATATATATATATATATATATATATATATATATATATATATATATATATATATATATATATATATGTGTCCGAGCCGAAATACTTTGACTCTACCTTAAAACAAAGATAACGGCGAAAATAAACAAAGAACAATAAATGATATATTGCCCAAACAAATAGAACAGTGTGGCTTGTTTGTTCGGGATACCGTAGTATTTTGTTGTTGCAAAATGGTCTGGCTTTATCCCTTTATTGTTGTTTTTATAAAAACAACGTTTGTTTATAGTGGAGAACGATGCTAATGTTTACCAAACAAATATGAGGAGTGTTTTGTGATTCCACGAAATTATTGTCGCTGAACGAAATTTTCAGAAAAATCAGGCTTGTTTTGCGTCAAAATTGGAACTTTTAGACATATACAAAACTGGTAAGGCTTAAAATGTCTGTTTCTATTCACAACAATAGCCATTAATAAGTAATGTAAACAAAGAAACTTGTGCATTACCAGTAAGATGAAAATAATGGGTTATTTCTTTAACAAATAACAAAAAAAAAAAAAAAAAAAAAACAAGTTTAAAAGTATCAGACGGTTTTGCCGACAGTTATATAGTTTCAGCCAATATTCGATTAATTAATTATATCTGTGTTGTGTTATAACCTTCTATGACTTAGGTTCCGAAGGAATGGTCCAAGATTGACAAGTTCATATCGGACTGAGAAAAAAACAAGTAAAATAGTATCAGTCGGTTTTGCCGACAGATGTATACCCCCAGCCTTATGTTATAAACGTGACATATTTGGATTATATCGACTACTTCTTGTACTTTACATGAGATATGTACACATTTTCGGAAATATGCGTCAGGTAACAGATATAGCGGACTGAAGTATTCCATTTTCATACTTCATCTAATACATATAATATATAATAATGGGTATATGCAAAATTTGAAGAAAATCGAACATTCGTATCCAATTTTATGCGAAATCATAAATTCCGACAAATTACATATTCATATCAGAATACTGGTTAAGAGAAATATATAGATATATCAAGTTGTTAAGAATCACCGACTTGTTTCGCAAGTTATGGCAACTATAAGTTGGCAGATCTTGTGTTGATGAAAATATTAAGAAGCTCCAAGTCCGAATAGAAGCGAATGTTAAATTTGCGTTTTACGAGTTTCATGGATACTAAAAATGTTGACCTTTTGTGGGGGAGGTACCAGAAGGAGTGGACCGATGTATTCCATCTTGGCACCGGACCTTGGGTTAATAAAATTATTGGGATATGTGAAATTCGAAGACAATCGGTCTCTTACATCAGTTGGAACAAAATCGGATTATCGATTCTCTTTCTGTGCAGAAAATATACTTTTTTTGAAAATCTCGAACATTTGTGTGGGAGGTACCAGCAGGAGTGGACCGATATATTCCATTTTAACACCAGACCTTGGGTTACATTAAATATTGGGATGTGTGAAATTTGAAGACAATCGGACGCTTACATCAATTTAATGAGAGTTTTAATTATTTAATATCTTGAGCCTTTGTGGGGGAGGTACCAGAAGGAGTGAACCGATCTTGTCCATTTTCACACTTGACCTAGTACTGAAGCAAATATTAAGATTTAAGCAAAATCGGTTTATCGTTTCTCTTTCTGTGCAAAAAAAAATATATATTTTTTTTAAATTTCGACCATTTGTGGGGGAGGTACCAGAAGGAATGAACCGATATATTCCATCTTAACATCAGACCTTGGGTTAACATAAATATTGGCATTTGTGAAATTTGAAGACAATCGGACTCTTATACCACATTTTATAAGAGTTGTAATTATTTAAAATTTTGACCATTTGTGGGGGAGGTACTTGATGAAGTGGACCGATATTTTCCATTTTCACACTTGACCTAGAACTGACGCAAATATTAAGATTTGCAAAGTTGGAGCAAAATCGGATTACCCTTTCTCTTTCTGTGCAAAAAATATTTGTTTTGAAAATTTCGACCTTTTGTGGGGGAGGTACCAGAAGGAGTGGACCGATATTGCCCATCTCCGAACTCGATCTAAGTTTGTCAAAAATATTACGATGTATCAAGTTTGGACCAAATTGGATAATCCCTTCGAGAGTTATTGTGCGCACCAGCCAGCCAGACAGACAGACAGACGGACGGACGGACGGACGGACGGACATCGCTAGATCGTCTCAAAATGTTCTGAAACGGATTTGGTCCAAAGAGACCTAGGGTCTAAAACCGTTATTTCGACTAGGCACGTTTTCACCGTACCAAATGATATAAACCTTCTGTAGCCATATGGCTGAGGGTATAATTATATAGATATTGTGACGTGACAGGTTTGGACTATATTGGTTAATTTCTTCACTTTTTATGAGATATGTGATAGTTTTTAGAAAATGTTAAAATGTACGTAAGGTACCAGATATAGTCGACCGAAGTATTCCATTTTCATACTTCATGTAATACAGATGTGCAGATATTGATATATGGGCAAAATTACAAGAAAATCGAATATTTATTTCAAAAATGTGGAATCATAAATTCCATATTCATCTCAGGGGTCTGGCTGAGAGAAATACTTAGATATAGCAAGTTGTAAAGAATCGCTTACTTGTTTCGCAAGTTATGACAGATAAAAGTATTGAAATTTTTTTTCGGTGAGGTACCAGAAGATGTTTGCAGATATATATCATCTTCACAACAGATCTTGTGCAAGGAAAAAATTTTTATATATGCGACATTTGAAGAGAGTTGGATGTTTATTTCGTTTTCTTTGAGCGTTTTATTTTTCAAAATCTTGAAACCTATGTGTGGGAGGTACCAGAAGGAATGGTCCGGTGTTGATGGTAATATTGAGATGTGCAAAGTCTGAATGGAATCGAATGTTAATTTTGCGTATTATAAATGTTAAAACCTTTGTGGGGTGTTAACCCTTTGTGGGTTAGGTACAAGAAGCAATGGACCGATATGTTTCATCTTCACACTAATAAAAGTATTGTGATGTGTAAAATTTGGAGACAATCACATCACATTTTATAAGAGTTATAATTATTCAAAATTTTGACGCTTCGAGGTACTTGATGGAGTAGGGCGACATTGTCCATTTTCGCACCTGACGAAGCACGGCTGGATTTAGGATTAGGATTTGAAAAGTTGGAGCAAAATCGGTTTATCCTTTCTCTCAGCTAGCAGACTATTATCATCAAACTTAGATCGAATTCTTAGATGAGAAATGTCGGTTTGTATAACTACAGGGTTGTTCAATATACGCCACGCGATAGCTCTGAAATAGTTGAAATTTACATTCAACAACATTTTTATAGACACAAGATCTGGTGTAAAGACAATCAAATTTCAGAGATCATTTCATTTCAGATCAAATTTTAGAATAAGTTTAGATTTGTTCGAATTGGTCAACCTTGGTACGAATTATGGCCTTCAAACACACGCTGGCCGAATGTAGCTTGAGGTGATCGACACTTTGGTATTTTTTAGTGCCAATCTTGATTTTCAAAATAGTCCAGACACAATAGTCCAACGGAATGGTATACGGAGATTTTGGTGGCCATTGTGCGCTGGAAATGAAACGAGGAACCTCATTTTGAAACCATTCTTGGGTCTGCTGCCAAAATGTTTGCATGGCCAAGGTTTTAATACTCCTCGTCCTCCAGAATATTTTCGCGTTAATATTCGGCATTTATTCTGATGCCACGGTCGATTAATACGAGCGGAGAGCGACCATCAGCAGTAATGGCGGCCCACACTATCACCATGGCCACGCTTGAGAAAACCAAATTCGGAGAAAACCAAATTCGGCAGTTCACCACTTTCGGTCAAGCGAAGCAACTCTTTGGCTCTTTTGAGTCTATTTTCTTTCTGTTGCGGTGTAAGTTTTTGCACTTTTTGCTACGAGCTACGCTACCAGTAACGAGCGGTGGTACGAGACACAAAAGATTTGTTCAGCTTTAAATGCTAGAGTGCCAGCCAAATGTAAAGAAATCCCACTATCGCGCTATATATATATATATATATATATATATATATATATATATATATATATATATATATATATATATATATATATACATATATATATATATATATATATATATATATATATATATATATATATATATATATATATATATATATATATATATATATATATATATATATATATATATATATACATATATATACATATATATAAATGATATTTCTTGGCCAACACCGAAATTGACAATAATGCCCCACTTCTTCGGAACCTGCCCCATAAAGGGTCAATACTTTGAACAGTCACAACGCAACTTAACTAAAATACCTGCAGTCGAAATATTTGAATTTTGATGTTAATTTCGTATATAAACCTCTTAATCTAATTTCAGTAAATATGTTGTAATAATCATCCATTCATGCTTTTGGAAAGTTAATAGGTCTCATATGTCGTCTTGGCCTTCGAAAAGCCCTTATACACAAAGCATTGTTAGAAATCCATTACATCAAACAAGCCACTTTAGAAGTTTGCCGGTAGTTTTTTTTTTTTTTTGTGAATGGATGACGATGGAAATTAGTCATTTCCGTTTGAAATAGAAACAAATGTAAACGGCTGGCGGGCCATTGGCATTTTTATATTTTCCCATTATCGATTAATACGAATTGGGCGGATGCATAATTTTTCCAAATGCTTTACAAACACAACAAGCCGTCAATGACATAAGTGAGATGAACAAGCAAACATCTGTTTTTATTCGTCGTCTAGTTTACACACGCTACACAGGGCAACACAATTTAACAGAAGCAATTGTTTCGGTTTTGTTTTTGTATTTTATGAACCCCGCCAAAAACCCGTGAGCCTTATGAAAAGAATAGCGCATTAAACCCATTAAAAAAGTTGAAAGGTCATAATGTCGGCAGGGCCGACTTTATGATACCCTACACCACTGTGAACATTAAGTTCAGCTACCGGTGTGTAATTTATGTAAAGTAGATAATACCAACTATGAGACTTTACTAAATGCGTATTATGGCTTTAAAGCAGCCATAATTTGAAACGGAGGAAAGAAAAATATGAAAGGCATACGCAATTTATGATATATTGAATCGATTTACACCAAATTTGACGGAAGCATTTGTACCTCTCGTATCAACTAACGTTAATGTAGAGTGCCTGATATGACTTTGAGAGGGATTATATCAAAACCAGTAAAGTCTTAAAGTCGGGCGGGGCCGATTTTATGATACCCTACACCACTTTGCTAATTTAGTTGAGCTCCACTTAATAATTAAAAGTTTTTATGGGAGAATTCAATCATACACGCTATGGTTATAATTATAATTTAAAATTCAAAGGACTAAATATGCCGAAGCATTTGTATCTTTTAAATTCGGACTTCTATTGCCCATTTGGTGCGAAATTAATTTGAAATCGGATAAAAATATATATGGAAACTATATCCAAATCTGAACCGATCTCGATAAAATTTGGCAAAGGCATTTCTGAGCTGCATTTGATATATTTCCCCAAATATTGTTGTTACAGAGTGCATATTACGGCTGCGGAGGACAAAAATAACAAATCGGATGAACAATATATATAGGAGCTATAGCTATATCTGAACCGATTTCGATAAAATTTGACATACTTATTTTCAGGCCTAATTTGGTTGTATTCGGGCTGATATTACACGTTTGGTGCACAATAAAAAGCAAATAGGACGAAGATATATATAGGAGCCATATCTAAATTTTTACCGATTATCTCCAATTTCAATAGGGTTCGTCCTTGGGCCAAACAAATGTTGTTTGCAAAATTTCATCTCAATCGGATAATAAATGCGACCTGCATTTAGTTCACAAGAATACATGGACAGACGGACGGACGGACAGACGGACTGACATGCATAAATCAACTCAGAAAGTGATTCTATGCAGATCATCAAAGGAACTATTGGTCTTTCTCGTTTCCTTTTGCCTGTTACAAACAAATGCACAAAGACATAATACCCTGACCACCTTGTGGTGTAGGGTATAAATATTAGTATGGGTAAAATCACAAGAAGATCGAACATTTATATGCAATTTTATGCGAAATCACAAATTCCATCAAGTTTCCTCAAGTTTCTGGTTGAGAGAAATATTTAGATTTAGAAAGTTATAAAGAATCGCTGACTTGTTTGGCAATTGTGCGATGGAAATGAGGCGAGGAACCTCGTTTTGAAACCATTCTTGGGTGGCTCGTGCTGAGTGCGATGGTGCTGAGTCCTGTTGGAATGTCCAAGGTCTGCGGCCAAAATGTTTGCGTGCCCAAGGCTTTAATACACCTTCCAGAATATTTTCTCGATAATATTCGACATTTATTCTGGTCAATTGATACGAGCGAAGAGCGACCATCGTTTGTTATGGCGGCCCACACCATCACCACGGCCGGCGCTTGAGTTATTGTGGCCAACCGAACGAAGGTGTACGTTTTCAGCTGACCTCTTTGGCAAGTAAACACGATCATTTTGTTTGTTTACAAACTGCTGGACAACGAATGTTTTCTCATCGGAGAAAATCAAATTCGACAGTTCACAACTTTTGTCCGAGCGAAGCAATTTTTTAGTTATTTTAAGTCTATTTTCTTTCGGTTGAGGTGTAAGTTCTTGAACTTTTTGGAATTTCAGAGACTTTACCCCTGCGACGAGGGTTTCGATCAAGTCGCTTCGTTACTTTTCGAATCATAACCTTAGATACAAAAGATTTATTCACATTTAAATGCTGGAGTGCTCTAACGATAGCCACTTTAGGGTTTCCAGCCAAATATAAAGACTATCACACTATCACACTGGAATTCCATCACGAATAACTTTTTTTTCTGGAAAATTCTCACCGAAAATGCTTTTGTACGCTTTTAAACAATATAATGAGCTGTCACTGGGATAATTTTAACAGCTGTCGGACAAGTGGCTTAGAAATTACAGCAGTCTCAAGTTGACTGCAGGTTTTTCGTGTCACCCTATATAAATATATATATTATATTTCGAGGTGTTACAAACGGTATGACAAACTTAATATAACCTCCATAATATGGTGTAGGATATAAAAACGAGAAAATATTTCCAATTTCTCTTGATCAATCTTTATTCGAGCTGACACCTAAATTAACATAATATTTATTTTGATGCAAAATGTGCAAAAAAAACTAATAATAAAATATACATCTAGGTATAGTCCTTGACCAAAACAAAGCTTAAGAAGTCCTATCAAAGTTCGGAGATTCAAAAAAAAATTCATAATAGCTAATTAAATCAAACTAAATAGCTAATTTGTTTTCATTTCAGTTATATCCATCAAAATGCATCTAAAAACAACTCTTCACGTTATACTTGCCTGCACATTCTTTGCATTTTGTATGGGCTCGGGAGATATAATTCCAAAATGTGCTTTCGAAGATACTGTCGATTTGACAAAGAGTCAAAAGTTCAATAATGGTTCCTATTTGTATGAAGATATTCTGATAACTCCCGATCAGATCAATATCTATGATTATGAAGAGATTTATCAGGGCATTCGACTGCCAAGGGAACCACATCCGCGAGCGTGTCTGTGCCAGGGACAACGAAGTTGTGTTCGCTTTTGTTGCCATCCCGCCCGGGAACTTATTGCCAACTATAGTCGTCGATGTTCCGGTGAAATGTTGCAGAAAGAGCTGGAATACGATCCATACATAAATGTGACGCTCAACAATGGCTCAGTGGTGAGCAAACATGTTACAAAAGAATTTACTGTGATCCAGGGTGTGCCCTGTGCTGGAGCCTATGCTTTGGCGCCCCAATACGATGAGGAGGACAGTTGGGTTATTTTCGAAAATGGTACCCTGCTGCGACACTATGACATGGCTTATCTAAGTAAAAGGGACTACTGCCTATTGCCAATGGAATTGGATACTGGGGAATGGGTTTTGAATCCCATGAACTGTCCCATTCTAAATGAAGCCTCACTTTCATTGCAGATCAATAATATCGGTGAGTCAAAACTGGTGGAACAGACTTTGTTTTTAGGCATATTCAAACTTGTTTTCATTACAGCCATGGCCGTGTCGGTTCCATTTATTATTTTAACCATTATTGTTTATGTTTTTATACCGGAGCTACGCAATCTGCATGGCAAGTGTCTGATTTCATATCTTTGTCCCCTGGCCGTTGGATATTCGATTTTAAGTACCATCTCACTATCCGAAGTTGTATTTCCCAATCTGGTATGCAGTTGTTTGGGTAAGTTGGTCATTTTGCTCTTTTTCTTGAAATATTTTCCAATAGTTTACGACCGAATTAAAAAAAAAAAATATTTTCATTTTCAGGTTATGTTGCATATTTTTGTTTCATGAGTGCCTTCTTTTGGCTGAGTGTGATTAGTTTCGATTTATGGCAAAATTTCCGCCTAACCGGTTCCATGCGTTTTGGCCAGCGTAAACGTTTTTGCTTATATTCCATCTATGCCTGGGGCATACCAGCATGTCTGACGCTTATAGTTATAGCCTTGCAGAATTCCAACATGAATGAATTGTATAAACCCGGCATTGGAGACAATTATTGTTGGCTGAAAAGTGAGTAAAGTAAATGAAAAGAACATCGAACCGTTTCGGGCCGACTACAACACTGTGCCACAAAATTCTAATTATGAAAGTAGAGGCAACAAGGTAAACACATTAAGTTCGGATGTGCCAAACGTTCAATACTTCATCCATTTGGCATTTTTATTTTTAAAAAGAAATATCGATTCTCAAACACCAAATTTGGTAAAAAAAATAGTAAAGAAAGTCCTAAAGTCGGGCGGGGCCGATTTTATGATACCCTACACCACTTTGCTAATTTAGTTGAGCTCCACTTTATAACTAAAAGTTTTTATGGGAGATTTCAATCATACACGCTATGATTATAATTATAATTTAAAGTTCAAAGGACTAAATTTGCCAAAACATTTGTATCTTTTAAATTCGGACTTGTATTGCCCATTTGGTGCGAAATTTATTTGAAATCGGATAAAAATATATATGGGAACTATATCCAAATCTGAACCGATCTCGATAAAATTTAGCAAAGGTATTTCTGAGCTGCATTTGATATATTTCCCCAAATATTGTTGTTACAGAGTGCATATTACGACTGCGGAGGACAAAAATAACAAATCGGATGAACAATATATATGGGAGCTATAGCTATATCTGAACCGATTTCGATAAAATTTGGCATACTTATTTTCAGGCCTAATTTGGTTGTATGTGCAAAATTCCATACTATTCGGGCTGATATTACACGTTTGGTGCACAATAAAACGCAAATCGGACGAAGATATATATGGGAGCTATATCTAAATTTTTACCGATTATCTCCAATTTCAATAGGGTTCGTCCTTGGGTCAAACAAATGTTGTTTGCAAAATTTCATCTCAATCGGATAATAAATGCGACGTGCATTTTGTTCACAAGAATACATGGACAGACGGACAGACGGACTGACATGCATAAATCAACTCAGAAAGTGATTCTTTGCAGATCATCAAAAGGAACTATGGGTCTATCTCGTTTCCTTTTGCCTGTTACAAACAAATGCACAAAGACATAATACCCTGACCACCTTGTGGTGTAGGGTATAAAAACTCCCTCTAAATGTGATCGCAACCAATCACAATATCCTACACAATTTATTTGCTACAAAGTCTCACTATAGATTCCATTAAAAATAAAAACAACTAAAAAACAAAAAGTTCGGCCGGGCCCCCACCATTGCGTAAAAAAAAATATTTTTATATAAACGTTTCTGAATCCAAGCGTTTTCCTCTTTAAACTACAAATATCAGTATAATAATGTTGTTAAACTTTTCAAAAAACCATAAAGTGGGTTAAATGCGGGGGCCATACCAAAACGGGAACCTATATAGAAAATTTATACTTTAGGGATTTTCATCTACCAAATCTTCTTAAATACCAAATTTGAAACAAATTCGTGGTTAAATGTGACTAGGATTATCAAAATACCGAATATCGGTGCATATCGTAATAGAGGGTAAGATAAAAAAGCTGCAACAAAGTCAAACGCCATAATTTTAAATTTTATTGAATGAAAGCAAAAATGTCGGAAATAGCATCAAATTTTAGAATAAGTTTAGATTTGTTCGAACTGCTCAGCTTTGGCACGAATTATGGTCTTCAAACGGCCAATGAAACTGTCACACGCTGCCCGAATGTTGCTCTACGGTATTTTGGCCCATTCCCGGCGAAGCGCTTGCTTGAGGTAATCGACACTTTGGTGTTTTTTAGTGCCTTTCCAAAATACTGCAGACATAATTGTCCAACGGATTGGTATCCAGAGATTTTGGTGGCCATTGTGCGCTGGAAGTGAAGCGAGGTACCTCATTTTGTAACCATTCTTTTGGTGGCGCGTGCTAAATGAGCCCTGTTGGAATGTCCAAGGTCTGTGTCCAAATTATTTTGATGCCACGGTCGTCTACACCTTCACCGTGGCCGGCGCTTGAGTTCTGGTGGCCAACCGAAGGTGCACATTTTAAGCTGACCTCTTTGGCAATTAAACACGATCATCGATTGTTTGTTTTCAAACTGCTGGACAATGAATGTTTTCTCATAGCAGAAAACCGAATTCGGCAGTTCACCACTTTCGACCAAGCGATGCAACTCTTTAGCTTCTTTGAGACTATTTATGGAATTTAATAGCTTTACCCCGAGCCAATTTTTCAATATTTGCCGAATGGAATATTACGATATGTTCAGCTCACGCTACTGCCGCTACTGCGACGCGGGTTTCGATCAAGCCGCTTTTTTACTTTTCGAACCATTTCTGCTGATGTTGCGGTTTTCTTCCGTCCACTTCCTTGACGTCGGGCTAAATTACCAGCGTTCACATTTAAATGCTGGAGTGCTCTAACGATAGGCACTTGTGCTTTTCCAGCCAAATATGAAGAAATCCGACTATCACGCTTGAGTTCCATCACGAACTTTTTGTGGAAAATTCTAAGCAAAATGCTTTTGTACGCTTCTAAACAATGTAATGAGCTGTCTCTGGAATAATTTTAACAGCTGTCGGACGAGTGGCTTAGAAATAACAGCAGTTTGAAGTTGGTTGCAATTTTTTGATTTCACCCTGTAAGTGCGCTATAGCAAAACTCATCTCATTTTCAATACCAGTTATCTCATACACAAGACAAGTTGTGCTGCCAAATTTTGAAGCTCTACGTCAAATAATGTGGGCTGTATCGTGGTCGAACTTTGAATAGCCTGCACCATTCGGAACTAACTTGCTAATTTTCAATAAATTAAATAAATAACCGTTGAAAAATACTACTCCAATTATAAAAATGGCGGCTATAGCGTATAGTCACCGTTATACGAAGACGTAAATCTGCATGAGAAATTTTTGTCATCGACCATTACGACATTCAAATACGAAACTTGAAACAATTTGGCTGAATAATGCCGCTAAAATCTGGAAAATACCGAATATAGGGAGGAACCGTTGTACGGGGGCCTGGACCTGCATATGCAATTTTCGGCCAAATATGGTAGTACCCATTAGGAACTTCAAATACATAATATAAAACAATTCCGGTGAATCAGGTATCTAAAATCATCAAAATACAGAATATCACTAGATACACTTTCTATGTTCTATGCAAGAGCGTTTAATAAGTTGGGGAAAAATTCTGCAAATCCGGGTTAAAAGTGTTACTAAAACACTAAAAATACCTTGAATCTTTAGGTACAGTTATACGGAGGCTATATCAAAACGTGGACCAGACGGACGGACATCGCCTAATCGACATAGAATTTAATGCTAATTAAGAATATGAAAGTAGGTTGATAAACATTTTACTCAGATCTCCTCCACATAACTGTACCTCCAGATATTCGGTATTTTAATCATTTCTTTCACACTCTTCACCGCTAATGTTTCAAACTTTGACTTTGAAGTTCCTAAAAGGAACTTGACAGAAAATTGCTCTTACGTCGTCTTCGTATAGTCTTCATATAACGGTACCTCTTTATATTCGGTATTTTGAAGATTTTAGCGACATAATTCACCAGAAATTGTTTGAAATTTCGTATTTGAAGTACCTTACAGGTACTACAGTCTGTGACAGAAAATTATCTTTGCATGTCCGGGTCTTCGTAGAGCCCCCATATATCGGTATTTTGATGATTTTATATGCATTGTTCATCAGATTTTTTTCTAGTTTCGTATTTGAATAGTGTAATGGCCTATGAAAAAATTGCATTTGCAGGTCCACGTCTTATTATAGGCCTCAATATAACGGTAACACCTAGTTTGTTAAACGATTTTTATACCCTACACCACAAGGTGGTCAGGGTATTATGTCTTTGTGCATTTGTTTGTAACAGGCAAAAGGAAACGAGATAGACCCATAGTTCCTTTTGATGATCTGCATAGAATCACTTTCTGAGTTGATTTATGTCAGTTATGTCAGTCAGTCCGTCCATCCGTCCGTCCGTCCGTCCGTCCGTCCGTCCGTCCGTCCGTCCGTCCGTCCGTCCGTCCGTCCGTCCGTCCGTCTGTCTGTCCATGTATTCTTGTGAACAAAATGCAGGTCGCATTTATTATCCGATTGAGATGAAATTTTGCAAACAACATTTGTTTGGCCCAAGGACGAACCCTATTGAAATTGTAGATAATCGGTAAAAATTTAGATACAGCTCCCATATATATCTTCGTCCGATTTGCGTTTTATTGTGCACCAAACGTGTAATATCAGCCCGAATAGTATGGAATTTTGCACATACAACCAAATTAGGCCTGAAAATAAGTATGCCAAATTTTATCGAAATCGGTTCAGATATAGCTATAGCTCCCATATATATTGTTCATCCGATTTGTTATTTTTGTCCTCCGCAGCCGTAATATGCACTCTGTAACAACAATATTTGGGGAAATACATATATCAAATGCAGCTCAGAAATACCTTTGCTTAATTTTATCGAGATCGGTTCAGATTTGGATATAGCTCCCATATATAACTTCGTCCGATTTACCATTTATTGTGCACCAAACGTCTAATATTTGTCCAAATTGGATGAAATTTGGCACATACGACATACGACGAATTTAGTTCAGAAGGTAGTATGCCAAATTTGGTGAAGATCGGTTCAGATATAGTTATAGCTCCCATATATATTGTTCATGCGATTTATTGTATTTGTTACCCACAGCCGTAATATGCACTCCGTAACAACGATATTCAGGGAAATATATCAAATACAGCTCAGAAATATCTTTGCCAAAATTTATCGAGATCGGTTTCGATTTGGATATAGCTCCCACATATATTTTTATTCGATTTCAAATTAATTGTGCACCAATTGGGCAAAACAAGTCCGAATTTAAAAGATACAAATGCATCGGCATATTTAGTCCTTTGAACTTTAAATTATAATTATAATCATAGCGTGTATGATTGAATTCTCCTATAAAAACTTGTAATTGTTATGCGGAGCTCTACTAAATCAGCAAAGTGGTGTAGGGTATCATAAAGTCGGCCCCGCCCGACTTTAAGACTTTCTTTACTGGTTTCTAGTTACGTATTTGAATAGTGTAATGGCCTATGAAAAAATTGTATTTGCAGGACCACGTCTTATTATAGGCCTCAATATAACGGTAACTCTTAGTTTGTTAAACGATTTTTTTTGCGTATTAATTCCAAATGATGGACGGTTTTTAAAGTTCGCCCCGGTCCTGCTTTTTAATTGTTTGATATTTTTTCATAATCTACTGCGATTTCCCGCAGTTATTTTTTGTGTAATCATTGTTTTTTTTTTATAAAAATGGGATTTTTTCTTCTTTCAGCCAACGATTGGTCTGCCATGATGTACTTCTTTGGGATCAATCTAATAATTGTACTTATCGACATAACCTTTTTCACCATGACCTATTTCAAGATCACGGTAATGCAAAGGGACATTGACAAAATTATTCGAAACGATACGATTGAAGGAAGACACCAGCTGAGGACACACAAGAACAAGTAAACGTCAACATCAATTGAATTTGGCAAATTCTTTTTGGTTTTGATTTTGGTTTGATTTTTGCATTATCTCTTTCAGTTTTGGTCTATTTTTGCGTTTGTTCCTCATCATGGGTGTCTCTTGGCTACTGGATATTGTTTCGTACATTGAGACCATAGTCTATCCCAATGACATTAATCCCATCTATTATGTTTCGGATTTTATGAATGCCATCTTGGGTCTGCTCATCTTTGTTTGTTTTGTTCTAAAGCCCAAGGTTTTGTCGTTAATCAAAAAGAGGTAAGTTCCGTTCTGAATTGCTGATGCTTTTTATTGCAGCCGATATGTTTCATAAAAAATCGGAAATGTTTTATATGACTTTCTTTATTGTGGCTTAAACTATTTACTTTTATTTGCATTTGCATTCCGAAAACAAAAACAAAACAAAAAAAAAAAGATTTTATGGTAAGCCAGATGAAACTGACAACTCTACCCATTCTGAATCCGAGGAAGAGGAAATCTCTTTGAATATTATTGGCTCAGGTACAGAATTTGTAAAATAGTTCGAAATTTGCTTTACTTTGCATGTAAATAATTAATTTTTGTTGTGTGTTTTTGTTGTTGGCAAAAATTTTTATTTTGTTATTTTTGTTTGTGTTGCCACGATTGCCCTAATTATTGAGCTGCCATCAGGGCTGCCATGGTTGTGGATTGCACGGTTTTTATAAATATTACACTCTCTACACCCCATCTATCTCCATAAACTCTTCGTATAGCTAATGGTGAATGCAATTTCAATTTCAAACTAATATTTTTATTTATCATCTAATAAAGCATTAAATGCAAGTGGAATTTCTGAATATACATCGTTGAAGAAGAAGAAAAACATGTTATTTATAAAAACAAGTAAGCAAAGGCTACAGTCGAGCGGGGCCGACCGTTGAATACCCTACAACACTATAATAAACGATACATTTTATATAGGCGAGATACTCGAAAGAATTCCACAAGATATTGTGACAAATAATAAAAGAAAACCATCAGTTTCCGTTCTATAATTTTCGAATAATAGCAACTTAAAATAATTTGCTCATTTCCAATTTATTGGTAGATGTTGCACGTAAATGGTCTTCCTAGATCTGGAACCAATATTTCCCAAAGACCTATAATCTCTCAGAAGTGGCAAAAGATTAACATTTATTATTGGTTTTTGACTGAAACGCATCTAATGAGATACAGACATTTGACTATATTCTTCCACGAAATCAGCGTTAACGAAATAGTCCGAAGTGCGTCTTTCCTGTATTTGTGAATTCTCCAAAGAGTCACTGGAATGGACATTTTCGTATTTTGTCTACAAAAGTTGGCAAACTATTTCACACATTGAATATTTTTGGATGGCCATCCAAAACTTCTTGGCTTTGGCAACGCCCGGTAACCCCCATTCAAATGTGCGTGAGGATCGGGCAATAATTACGACCTGCTGACAATTTTACAGTTTTTTTGGTCCATTTCATCCCCTAAATATATGGCGATCATCTCCAAAAAGAGTAGGCTTCTATTCTGATCCTCATCTGATCCCCATGCTAAATTTCGTTAGGATCGGGCCATAAATGCGATCTGTATATGATATCCTGATATCCTAACTACTTAGTTTTATTAGCTGTAGAAATATTACCAAATGTTTAATCCAAAATGAAAATATGCCAAAAATATGACAAAATTGAAAAAATATTGGAAAATTTTACAAAATCAATATTTTCATCTTTAGAGAGATATTTTTATGCGATTTTTTTAGACTTTTTTTCCTGCCAAGAGGCCATCCTTTAATCCATTAATGAGAGCTGTCGAAATCAGTTCAGCCGTTCTCGACATATAAGAGATTTTTCAAGCATATCTTCATTGATAGACATATATATCGCACACATTTTGCTATATATCCGATTTGTTGGATGTTAACATCAATGTAAAGATCAGAAGTAACCTTGTCATGGCTTTGTGATTTCGCCGGGATTTAAAATATTCACGGTTTAATGAAAAATTTTGAATTTTTTCAACACAAAAGATATGGTCTATTTTACCCGCTAAATATTATCCGATGACCACCCAAATCGGTAGGCTTCTTCCCCGCCCTAAACTCTAGCTACATGTGAAATTCCGCGTCGATTGGTCTATAATTGCGACTTGTATAGCTACTGCAAAATCCGACATTTTTTCAGTATTTGGTCCATTTCAACCCCTAAATATTATGCGATTATCTCCAAAAGAAATAGGGTTCTATTCTGACCCTAGCCCCACCTCCATTCTAAATTTCGTGAAGATCGGGCCATAATTGCGACCTGTAGAGTGATTACAAATTAACATGGACAGACGGACAGACGGACGGACGGACATACATAGCTAGTTCGACTCAACTCGGCGAGATAGGATGATCCATATATACTTTCCTATGTGGGAAATCAATATTTCGAGGTGTTACATAATTTTTGGTCCAATCAAACTTATAATACCCCCAACACATAGTGTTGTAGGGTATAAAAACAAATTCAATTAGGTCCTGGGAAAAAAAAAAAAACTTTTTTTAGGAAAAAGACTTTTGAAATAAGGCTTTAAAATATGTAACTATGTCCATACAAATATTTTCTTCCTTCAGAGTAGACAGACAAAGAATTCCAGAATTACAGCCTTATTTTAAAAGTCGCTAAAAGTTGATTTTTTTATATTCATAAATGACCCATGTCGGTCCACGTTTTCGTATAGCCCCCTTATAACGCTATATCCCGATATTCGGTATTTTGATGATTTTAGCGGCATTTTACACCGGAAATGTTACAAATTTCGTATTTGAAGATCTTAATGGGTGCTGCAATCGACGAAAAAAATTACTATGCAGCCCCTCGTTTTCGTATAGCCCCCATATACCCAAATTTTTCAATGAAATTATCTGAAAATTCACAAAAGCAGTTCCTTCTTAGAAATTTACCCCGTGGAAGAGTTTAATCTATATATGTTCACGATATCAAATTTGAATTTGAATTTCATGTTCCTACTAGAAACTTGATAGAAAATTGTTCTTACGACTTAGTATAGCCCCTATATAACGGTACCTCCCTATGATCGGTATTTTGATGATTTCAGCTACATTTTTCAATAGAATTGTCTAAAAATCCATACTAGAAGTTCTTTCTAAACACTTTACCCCCTGGAAGAGAAATGTCCACGATATCGATAAATTGCGTATGCAGGCCCACGTCTTCGTATAGCCTCCATATAACGGTACCTCCCAATATTCGGTATATTAGTGATTTTGGCGACATTATTCACCGGAGTTGTTTCAAAGTTCGTATTGAGAGTTCGTAATGGGAACTACAGTCTATGACAGAAAAGTGTATATGCAGGTCCAGGTCTTTGCATAGGCCCCATATATCCCTATATTCAGTATTTTGACGATTTTAGGTACAATATTCACGGAAATTGTTTGAAATTTCGTACTAATAGGTACTACAGCCTGTGACAGAAATTTGTCTATTCGGGTCCAGGTCTTCGTATAGCCCGATATAATGGTCCCCCCTATATTCGGTTTTTAGATGATTTAAGCTACTTTATTCACCGGATTTCTTCAAGTTTCGTATTCGAATATTTTAATGGCTATACAGGTCCACGTCTTCGTATAGCTCCCAATATAACGGCTATATTCGGCATTTTTAAGATTTTTAACGGATATTATTATACCCTCAGCCATATGGCTACAGAGGGTATATATCATTTGATACGGTCAAAACGTGCCTAGTCGAAATAACGGTTTTAGACCCTAGGTCTCTTTGGACCAAATCCGTTTCAGAACATTTGGAGTCGATCTAGCGATGTCCGTCCGTCCGTCCGTCCGGACTGGCTGGCTGGTGCGCACGATAACTCTCGAATGGAGTATCCGATTTAGTCCAAACTTGGTACATCGTAATATTTTTGTCAAACTTAGATCGAGTTCGAAGATGGGCAATATCGGTCCACTCCTTCTGGTACCTCCCCCACAAAAGGTCGAAATTTAAAAAAAAATATATTTTTTTTTGCACAGAAAGAGAAACGATAATCCGATTTTGCTCAAACTTTGCAAATTTTAATATTTGCATCAGTACTAGGTCAAGTGTGAAAATGGACAAGATCGGTCCACTCCTTCTGGTACCTCCCCCACAAAGGGTCAACATTTAAAATAATTAAAACTCTCATAAAATTGATGTAAGAGTCCGATTGTCTGCAAATTTCACACATCCCAATATTTAATGTGACCCAAGGTCTGGTATTAAGATGGAATATATCGGTCCACTCCTTCTGGTACCTCCCACACAAACGATCGAGATTTTCAAAAAAATGTATATTTTCTGCACAGAAAGAGAATCGATAATCCGATTTTGTTCCAACTTTGCAAATCCTAATATTTACGTCAGTTCTATATCAGGTGCAAAAATGGATAACATCTGTCCACTCCATCAAGTACCTCCCCCACAAAAGGTCGAAATTTTGAATATCCAACAAGCTCTTATAACACTAAATGATCATCCGATTCCATTAAGACTTAGCACGTCTCAAAACTTTTATAAACGCAAGATCTTTTATAAAGATGGTAGAGATCGGACCATTCGTTCTGGTACCTCCCACACAAAGGACCTAAGTTTTGAATAATCAAAACGAGCAAAGAATCCGAAATAAACATCCGATTCTCTTCAAATTACACACTTCCCATTATTTCTACTAACTCAATATCTGGTGTGAAAATGGGATATATCGGTCCACTCCTTCTGGTACCTCCCCCACAAAGGATCAAAATTTTGAGTATCCATGAAGTTCATAAAACGCAAAATTAATATCCGATTCTATTCAGACTTGGAGCTTCTCAATATTTTCATCAACACAAGATCTGCCAACTTATAGTTGTCATAACTTGCGAAACAAGTCGGTGATTCTTAACAACTTGCTGTATCTAAATATTTCTCTTAAACAATCTTCTGATATGAATATGTAATTTGTCGGGATTTATGATTTCGCATAAAATTGGATACGAATGTTCGATTTTCTTTAAATTTTGCATATACCCATATATTTTATCTGTATTAGATGAAGTACCTGACGCATATTTCCGAAAATGTGCACATAGCTCATATAAAGTACAAGAAGTAGTCGATATAATCCAAATCTGTCACGTTCATAACTTAAGGCTGGGGGTATAAATCTGTCGGCAAAACCGACTGATACTATTTTACTTGTTTTTTTATTTTTTTAACATTTTTAAATTTTTCCAAATGGTGGAGGGTATTCAAAGTTCGGCCTGGCCGGACTTAGTGTTATTTTACTTGTTTGGTCTATTGAGGGTTAAACAATACTTGGAATAAAATCAACATTATGAGGTTGCTGGGTACTTAAGAAAAATTGGGAAAATACCACGTTTAATGGTCTGTAGTTTCGTAAAAACATTATTTATAACTTATTATTAACAATGATTTTGTGTTCAAGTTTATAACAAAATATTGGTGTATTTTAGTACCTTTTGTTTTTTTTTTCCTAACGCTCTTTTCAACAATTAACCAGCAAGGGATTGTATTTAATGGCATGTAGTGTTGTTATATGTTTTTGGCATTTAAGTAAAATAAACGCTCTAAAAATCAAAAATTAAAATAAAAAAAAAAATCAAATCGAAACAAGACTAATTTTGTCTTCTCTTACAGATGTCAGCAAACAAAGGGAGGCGCTCAAATGAGACCAATGGTAAAACGGACCACAACATCGCAACTCAGCCTAACGAACATCAAGATGACTCCAATTCCGACACGTTGTTCGAACATGCAAAGCTGAATTGCCAATTCCATAGCATATTCATATGTCGAATAAAACCTTCGCCCTGCCAAAAAGCTCTAATGTAAACATACTATTATTTATACAAAATTCAATTATTCATTAAATTATTAAAATATTCGCGTTAAATTACACTGCGACAAAATTTTTTTTTAATAATTACAGAAAAAATCGCGAGTGGATTATGAAAGCAGCGGTGAAAATAGAAAAACTCGTGTATGATGATCAAGAAACTAATCCTTAAATGTTTATATGTAATATTGCCGAATACCTAAATTGTAAGGACTCCAAGGAAGCTTGATGTGAAAATTTCAAAAATGTAGAAGATGTTGATGATATTTGCCTCCTCTATTTAGGTTGCTTAGCGATGTTACCATTTAAAGCTCTGATACACGTGTCTTCCATTCTTAACTCTGCTTTCATAATCTGCTTAATTTTTCCCGTAATTATTGAAAACATTTAAATCTGTTTCACAGTGTAATTGTTTGGAAAATAGACATACACTAATATTAACAAAAGTATTATGACAGCTGTAAGTGTGCTTGTATGAACGTATTTGCAACCTGCAACATAGTGTATTACTGTAAGGTGTAGTGACAATAGAAGATTATTTTTTTACTGTTTTGTAAAATAAAATTAAACGACTTTAAAACCAAAATTTTTTTTTGTTCTATGTAAGTGAAAGATGCCTAAAATAATTGGGCTTTTTAACGAAATTATTACAAAATTACAATGAATAAATTAAGACATATGTTTTGAGAAAGAAATGGATTTGTATTAAAAATCCTGGAACGGACCCCATGCAATTCTACAAAAATCATCACTTATACCTCTTTATATAGATTATATATAAGTTTGTAGCATTTATTTTTACTTAATTTATTTGTAGAATAGTTTGTAATTTCAATAAATCAACATTACGTTTTTTACAAAAATTTTTACAATGTATGTGAACGTCTTTCCCAAAGGTATTGGAAAAAAGAATCTGAAGTATCCGCCCGTTTTTCCGACAGATGTATACCCTCATAGCAATAACCGTATCATTAATATATATATATTTTAATTTGTATTGTAATATGTTGACTTTTTTCCATTCGCACCTGACCTAAGTGTAATATAAATATTGTGGGATTACTCTTTATCCACTTCATATGAGACTAGCTGAACCCGGTGCGCTTCGCTACCCCTTTTTATACCCTCCACCATAGTATGGAGGGTATATTAAGTTTGTCATTCCGTTTGTAACACCTCGAAATATACATTTTAGACCCCACAAAGTATATATATTCTTGATCAGAATAAAATTCTATGTCGATTTATCAATGTCTGTCCGTCTGTCCGTCTATCCGTCTGTCCGTCTGTCCGTCTGTGGAAATCACTCTAGCTTCCGAACGAAATGAAGTAGGTTGATAAAATTTTACTCAAATGTGTACTATGTCTGCAGGACTTTTGGTATTGAAAATGGGCCATATAGGTCCACGTCTTCGGATAGCTCCCATATAACTGTACCTCCAGATAATCGGTATTTTGATGATTTTAGCTACATTATTTACCGAAATTGCTTCAATTTTGGTATTTGAAGTTCGTAATGGATACTACAGCATAAAACAGAAAATGGGCAATGTAGGTCCACGTCTTCGTATAGTCCCCATGTAACGGTACCCCCCGATATTCGGTATTTTGATCATTTTAGCCACATTATTTACCGGAATTGCTTCAATTTTGGTATTTGAAGTTCGTAGTGGATGCTACAACCTATCACAGAAAATTGTCTGTGCAGGATCACGCCTTCGTATAGCCCCCATATAACGGTACCCCCGATCTTCGGTATTTTCATGATTTTAGCGAACCTATTTACCGGAATTGTTTCAAATTTCGCATTTGAAGTTCGTAATGAATACTACAGCCTATGACAGAAAATTGTCTGTGCAGGTGCACATCTTCGTATAGCCCCCATATAACGGTACACCCCGATATTCGGTATTTTGACAATTTTAGGTACAATACCCACCGAAATTGTTTGAGATGTGGTATTTGAAGTTCGTAATGGATGCTACAGCCTGTGACAGAAAATTGTCTATGCTGGTCCAGGTCTTCGCACAGCTCCAATTTAACGGCACCTCCTTATATACGATATTTTGATGATTTTAGCTACATTATTCACCGTTTATTTCAAGTTTCGAATTTGAATGTGGTAATGGCTTATGACAAACAATGCCTAAGTATGTCCACGTCGTATAGACCCCAAAATAACGGCTATATTCGGTATTTTTAAAATGTTAACAGAATTTTTTAAGGATTTTTAAGGTGGAGGGTATTAAAAGTTCGGCCCGGCCGAACTTACTGCTTTTTAACTTGTTGATTTTATACACATTCAAAATTTTATATACGAAAGGCGTTGTGGGTCAATGCTTCTTAATAAAATCATATTCCAATCTGAACCGATTTCAATATAATTTGACAAAATTTACTTTTACATCAAATTCCGTCACATCTTCCATATTTCATTGAAATTGGTGCGTCACATATGGGAAATCGACCGAGAAAATATATACGGAAGATGTATCCAAATCTTAACCGATTTTCAATTAATTTGTCAAATTTATTATTGTAACCAAATTCCGCCACACATTCTGAATTTCATTGGATTCGGTTATATATATCCTGTTTGGTGCATAACATACATGAAATCGGCCGAAATATATGTGGGAGCTATACCCAAACCTCAACCGATTTCAATATAATTTGGCAATTTATTTTTTTTTTGTCTGCACCAGATTTTGTCTCTCTCTGTCCGAATTTCATAGGAATCGGGCATACATAACGCGTTGGGTGCATCACATATGTGAAATCGGCCGAAAATATATATGGGAGTTATATCCAAATCTGAACCGATTTCAATACAATTTGGCAAATTTATTTGCGTACCAAATTTAGGCACTCATGCCAAATTTCATTGACATCGGAAATACGTATCGTGTTTGCTACATCAAATATGTGAAATCGCCCGAAAATATATATGGGAGCTATATCCAAATATGAACCGATTTCAATATAATTTGACAAATTTATTTTCTGATCAAAATCCCGTCACACATTCCAAATTTCATTGGAATCGAACATACATATCGTGTTTTGTGCATCGAATATGTGAAACCGGCCGAAAATATATATATGGAAGCTATATCCAAATCTGAACCGATTTCAATATAATTTGGCAACATTTATTTTTGTTTCAAATTTCGTTACGCCTTCCAAATTTGGACGCTGTAGCTGTATTCGATCAGTAGTTATGTACATATAAAATCTAAATTTTTGGGAGGTACCTCCGATTCTGATGCTATATCTCCAGTTTCAAGTGGAATTTCAAAAAATTTTATAGCCTATGTTACTTTCAGGCGATGTTGTAGTATACTTGGAAATTTTCATAAAAAATCGGTTCAGCGGTTTTCGAGTCCATAAATTACAAACAAAGAAACATACAAACATTTTCCTCTTTTATAGATATAGATAGATATGTAATAATTTTAAGAAAATGTTAAAATGTGCGTGAGGTACCAGATATAGTCGACCTAAGTATTCCATTTACATACTTCATCTAATAGAGATAGAAGACAGAAATATTAGTATGGGCAAAATTACAAGAAAGTCGAACATTTATATCCAATTTTATATATAAATTCAATATTTATCCCAGGTGTCTGGTTGAGAGAAATGATTAGATATAGCAAGTTGTAAAGAATCGCTGACTTGTTTCGTAAGTTATGACAGATAATATTATTGAAAAATACGACCTTTTGTGGGTGAGATACCACAAGAGGTTCGCAGATATATATCATCTTCACAACAGATCTTGTGCTTGCAGAAATGTTTGTATATGTGAAATTTAAAGGGAGTTGAATGCTTATTTGGTTTCTTTGAGCTTTTTGCGTTTCAAAATCTTGAACTCTATGTGGGACAGGTAGCAAAAGAAATGGTCCGATCTCTACCATCTTTATAACAGATCTTGTGATGATGGAATATTGAGATGTACCATGTCTGGAATGGAATCGGATATTGACTTCGCTTCTTATGAACTTCATGGATATTCAAAAATTTGAGCGTTTGTGAGGGAGGTACTAGAAGGAGTGGACTGATATATTCCGTCTTACTACCAGATCTTGGGTTCATGAAAATAGAAGGATGTGTGAAATTTGAAGACAATCGGACTCTTACATTACATTTTTTAAGAGCTTTAAATATTCAAAATTATGACCCTTTGTGGAAGATAGAGTGGACCAATGGAAGATAGAGTGGACCAATATAAGTGGCACTTGATAGAGTGGACCAATATTATCCATTTTGGCACGAGTCCTAGAACTGACGCAAATATTAGGATTTGCAAAATTAGAGCAAATTTAGATTATTGCTTCCCTTTCTGTGCACAAAATATATTTTTTGAAAATTTCGACCTTTCGTGGGGGAGGTACCAAAAGGAGTGGTCCGATATTGTCCATCTTAACACCAGACTCTGGGTTAATATAAATATGGGATGTGTGAAATTTGAAGGCAATCGGACTCTTACATTAAATTTTATGAGAGTTGTAATTATTCAAAATTTTGACCATTTGTGGGAGGCACTTGATGGAGTAGACAGATATTGTCCATTTTAACACCTGACCTAGCACTGGCGCAAATATTAGGATTTGCAAAGTTGGAGCAAAATCGGGTTATCCTTTCTCTTTCTGCGCAAAAAAACATTTTTTGGAAAATTTCGACCTTTTGTGGGGGAGGTACCAGAAGGAGTGGACCGATTTTGCCTATCTCCGAACTCGACCTACGTTTGACAAAAATATTACGATGTACCCACTTTGGGTATCGTGCGCACCAGCCAGACAGACGGCCGGACGAACAGACGGACATCGCCAGGTCGACTCCATATGTTCTGAAACGTATTTGGTCCAAAACCGTGGAGTGGACAAATATATTCCACCTTCTACATTTTGATTTTGGTATATTTCGTGTTATCAAAGGTATAATTTTGAAAAATTGTAAACATATGATGGCACAAGATTATCTTCTTAATTCTACCATGAAACGTACTTCAACTTATCGAATTTTAACGCCAATGTGCCTACACAGACCGGTCATACTACAAAACAAATACGAAACACTGTTCACTAATATACGTATATTGGACGGGAAATGTCCACATCAGCACTGGCAAAGGAGAAAAAAATAAATTGTTTTTCCACCAATACAAAACTGTAAATAGAAAATCTTCAGGGTGGTGTAACATTCAAAGTGCAAATATTTATACCCAACACCACAAGGTGGTCAGGGTATTATGTCTTTGTGCATTTGTTTGTAACAGGCAAAAGGAAACGAGATAGACCCATAGTTCCTTTTGATTTATGCATGTCAGTCCGTCTGTCCATGTATTCTTGTGAACAAAATGCAGGTCGCATTTATTATCCGATTGAAATGAAATTTTGCATACAACATTTGTTTGGGCCAAGGACGAACCCTATTGAAATTGGAGATAATCGGTCAAAATTTAGATATAGCTCCCATATATATCTTCGTCCGATTTGCCTTTTATTGTGCACCAAACGTGTAATATCAGCCCGAATGGTATGGAATTTTGCACATACAACCAAATTAGGCCTGAAAATAAGTATGCCAAATTTGATCGATATCGGTTCAGATATAGCTATAGCTCCCATATATATTGTTCATCCGATTTGTTATTTTTGTCCTCCGCAGCCGTAATATGCACTCTGTAACAACAATATTTGGGGAAATATATCAAATACAGCTGAGAAATACATTTGCTAAATTTTATCGAGATCGGTTCAGATTTGGATATAGCTCCCATATATAACTTCGTCCGATTTACCTTTTATTGAGCACCAAACGTCTAATATTTCCCCAAATGGGATGGAATTTAGCACATA